TCCAAAAGTGTGTTGAATCAGATTTATTCCATATATATCAATTATTTGATGATCCAAAACATTCATTGATTCCTAGATTTAACCACTACATATTACTTGATCCATAAATTCTTCAAAATCATATTTTGTTGATTAAACTATATTGTTTCATACTAAACCACATATTAAAACACATAAGATCTTTTGATCAAATACCAAATCATTTAATCCACCGAAAATAAAGCGATACAAGGAATTGGGAGCTGTTGCAAAAGCACAAATTCAGGAGGGTTAAGGTGAGATACCAAAGCAGGGATCTACGTCAGGAGCACACAGTCTAGGAGGGTTAATGTATAAACCAAGAGTCAAGATTTGTTTTGAAGGAGCACACTTCTACTAGGATCAAGGGAAACTGCAAGAATTGAAGTTGAAAGTTCTATATGGTAGATATGTCTGGACCGTACTGTAAGTTTATTTTGATTTATAGTGGATTACTACCTAGTAAAGTGCCCGAAATTTTTATCCAGTTGAAGTTTCTCTATGATCATTTTTGGTGTTCTTTATTATTTTAATTATTGATTGTGGTATTCAAATTTAGGACAGATTGACTTGTTTGATTAAATTATCTAGAAAAAATTAAAAAGTGACTTAATTGTGTAATTCCGCACATCGAGTCTAAATAATTTAAAACTTTCAAAAGGTATTAGAGCATAAATTTTAGAAAAATAAATTCTAAGAATTTGTAGAAAAATAAAAATTATAAAAAATAAATAAAATAGTCAAAGTTCTTAATGATTATTTACATAATTTTTTCAAAATATATATTTAAATGAACACAATAAAAATACTCTTAGTCCATATCATTAATTTTTATTTTTATTTTAATATTTTGAACTCAATTTTTTATTTATTTTTATTTTAACTTTGTAGTGAGAAACAATGTTGTAACATTTACTAACTTTAAATTGTATATATTATTTGATAATAGATATGAACAGAAAATTGTTCTACTTTTGCTGAATAATCAAAATTCATATAATAAAATGTCATAAGATAATTTTTCAAGATTTCAAGCCAAATGTATTTTCTAGTTTTCTATTTTAAAAAATAACTTTTTAAAATGATAAACCAAATGCGTTTTTAATAATTTTAAAAGAGATTCTCAAAACAAAAAAAGGGAAAACAAACTCAACCAGCACAACTAAGGATCACGCTTGAATCACTAGCACAAGTGAAGATTACAATCAATTCTCACACAGAGGACATAAATCGGACTACCTTCTCAAAAAATATAGTATCTAAACACCTTTTACTAATAGGAGGTTAATATTTATCATTCACAAAAAAATGCAATTTAGAAAATGGCCAGGGTTTCAATTTTTTTTAATCAAATGAGAGAATGAACCCAAACCCGGATCCAGTAGCTCAAACTCCTCCATGTGTCATCATCCAAAAAAATAGCCATTTCAAAGAACCGCGAATGGCCCACGGATAATCACCATTTCAAGAAGTTCAAATCTAGAGGCGTCAATCCGGATTGCCAACACATGAATTCGGTAACGGCTCGCGTGAAAAAAAACCCGCCCGCTACGGGTTCCGGGCCGGTTCCAGGTCGAGCCTATACGGGTCGCGGGTCGCGGGTTGTTCCAAGAATTTTTTATATTGATAGCAAAATTTTTTTTTTTTGTTAAATGTAAACTAAGAATTGAACAAAATGATAAATTCATATTTATACCAAGAAATGTTTATATAGAATTCAAATTTAAGGTGACATAAATTATATATAACTTTGCAAAGCTAAATTTAACTTAAAAAACTAACAATTAAATGTATTTCTA